GGCTCACCTTCTCTGCCCTAGGAGCCTGGGATGGCAGCAGGGGAACTTCCTTCCAGGTGCTGGGACTGGCTGAGCTTCTCTCCTCACTGTCCTTTTTGGTTCTTCTTCCTTCTCTTTAAATGTGGGAAATTGTCAAGATCAAATAATCAGCTATCCATTTTCCTCTCTTCCTTTTCTCTCTGCTCATTCGCATGGCTTAGCTCATCTCTTTGTGACTGTATCCCAGATCAAAAATCTCCATCCTCACCTCACTCTGGAGCTCAGATGCAATGCCTCCAACTGTGTGGGAAATCTCTCTGTGGATGCCCAATCACCTCAAATACTGCACACCTAACACTAAGTAACCATCTGCCTTTCCTGTCTTTAGTAATCCCACAGTTCTACCAGTCAGTCTCTCTCCCTCTCTCTCTCTCTTTCAATTTTCCCTCCTTTCTTCCACATTCCCCATCCTTCTCATTCCCTCCTCTCCATTCACACAGCCATCACCTTAAGGCTGCTGGCCAGTAGCTCAGGCTGCAGCTGCTGCCACCCTCCCTCCTGCACTTAGCTCTGATCAGCGTTCCTCTAACAGCACATTCCTCCCACACCCATGAGGCTTCTGCACTTCTCATTCCACAGAGCATAAAGTTCAGACCCATTTGTAAGGCATTTAGGGTCCTCTACACCTCTCCAAGCTTCACCTCCAGATATATCACTCCCTGACACCAGCTACAGCTGTCGAGTTACTGTCATCTTAGCATACCCTGAGCTTGCCAACCCGAGCACTCACTTCCTGTCCCAGCTAACTTTGCTCCCCACCTTCTATCCCCACACCCAAACACTTAAACTTGTATTAATCTTCTAACAAATACTTCAGAGCTTCCTCTTCTGTAACAATCCCCCTTCCTATTCCAGAACCAACTCTCCCTCCTTGAACTCCCATTGTTTGACTCTACTCATTAGGAAACAACTTTGCAACCTGTGTAAATTATTAAGACCAATGAAATCAGATACCACCTAAACTTTCTCTTAATACATTAAACAAGGAGTGACCCCTTCTTTCTTTAAATCAAGGATCAGACAACTACAGCAAGCAAGCATGCCAATCCAGTATTTTTGTAAATAAAGTTTTATTGGAACATAGGCTTTCTCATTTGTCTACAAATTTGTTATGGCCACTTACATGCTACCATGACAAAGTTGAGTCATGACAGCACAGAATATGGCCTATAAAGCCGGAAAAGTTTACTGTCTACTCCTTTGCAAAAAAAAAAAAAAATTCTGCTTTAAATACCTATAAAAATGAATTCATGATATAGCTTACTGGGCCTTGAGTTATGGTTCTGTGAATATTTTCTTATCATCACCACAAAAACTATAACTCCTGAGTCAAGATTCAGTCCTTCTTAGTCCATAAGCCCAGGCCTACTACATTGTCAAAATTCACTCAAGTACTACAATTTTTAATCTTACATATTTGCTAAAACTAAAATGATTAAAGTCACTTTAAAGGTCAAATTTTAATTAAAAGTTTTACCACCATCTAATTCCTTCAATTAATAAAAGCTTCAGGCCGGGGATTTAGCTCAGTGGTTTTGTTGCCTGCTGCTCAAGCACAAGGACCCGAGTTCGATCTCCGGTACCAAAAAAAACAAAAAACAAAAACAACAAAAGTTTCAACATACCAATCTACATCTAATAAATTCCTTGTTAAATAAATGTCCAGTAAAATGTTTTTGTTGTCATTAGGAACAACAATTTTTTTAAACTACACAAAGGTCATTTTGAAACAGTTCTCTATACCTCACATCCCTAACAAGGAGCTGAGCTATCACTTGTAATAAAAGTAATCTATTTACTTTTCAGCTTAAAATTTTTAGAAACGCACTGAAAATACTATTTTCTATTTTGTCTTATTAAATGCAGCAACATAGACCAATAATAAATATAACTTACAGTGGCTGTGAAGTTGAGAGACGGCTTCAAAACAGTGACATAATCAAAAAATTCAATGATGTAATCGTGTTGCTTGAAAAACACATTGGAGCTTGCATTTCTTGAGATTCCTATTTGGGGAATTGCACAATTTAGAATCCAAAGTAATATTTCACCAAGACCTTCTGTCCACCACATCTCTCCAAGCTAGAGGGGTTTAAGATCTCAGGGCACGGGAGCCTCGTTTCCATAATGACTTTTGATGCTAAGAGAGCCGCATCTTCCTATTGTGTTCTCTACAGACTCCTAAGCACCACCACTACCGGCTTCCCTCAGTGACATCTGCACCAGTACAGCAGAGTGACTAACCGAATAGTCTTTTTCTCCTTCAGTAGTTGGTTAAAGCTGCTGACATAGTAACAGAAAAGTCCAAATAATTAAGCATTTTCTTATTCAAAGAGAAAACTAGCCAGGCATAATGGCACACACATAGCTACTTGACAGGCTGAGGCAGGAGGATTGCAAGTTCAAGATCAGCCTAAACAACTGAGAAAGACTCAGGCTGAAAATAAAAAGGTCTATGGACATAGCTCAGTTCTCCCTCATTTCAATCCTCAGTACTGAAAAAAGGGGAAGGAGGACTCTCCGGAGCAGGTGAGATTTCAGACTATGTTAAGTGATGTTTGTAAGATAGAAGATAGCCAGCTGAAAATCTAGGCTTTTCTATGTGGTTTTGAGGCCAGAAAGGAGTAGAAATAGAAAAAAATTGCAAATAGCTATCACACGTGACTGAAGTACAGGCTCTCACAGAAAATTAGTTTCACTTTTATTATGAAAACATCCTGCAAATTAGATTAATTAATATTCATGACAATTTCAACATTAAATGGCATCTTTAGAAAGGCAACAAATGGCCCCAAATGGAAAGTGTTAGTTGTAGTAAGAGAAACGACAGAGCACAGCACTAAACAGCTTTACCTTTCGCTTCAAAGTCTACAAACCTGTATGTGATTCTGTCACTGTGGCTAGAATTTCTACTGGTCCCGGGGTGGACAGATCCATGTACTCAGAGAGCCCATGTGAAAAATCCATTACCTTTTTCATTTCTTCATCATTAAAAGAGAAGTTTGCAGATCCATTTATCTGTTTTATTTAAAAGTTCAATTTTATTTTTCACTTTAGCAATTCAAATTCTAGAAGTAAAACTAACCAAAGTCATAGTAATATGACATTTCTGTCTCCATTTTAATTACTGTGAGTGGGTAAATTCTGACTTGTCCAATTCTGCAAAGCTCTTGATTTTCTTCCACTCAGTTTTTGTTAATTCAGTACAAAAATCATATACCGAGAAAAAGTACACTTCAATTTTCCCCATTGGAAGTTACAAAATATCTGCAAAAGTTACCTTAAATGTTTTTGTAATATTTTTCTTTTCTCCCCAAAATGATAGAGGTAAAAATGTGAGTGTTATATCTCCTTTGACTGGTTTCCCATATGTATACCTGAAAAACAATGAACAATTTGGGGCACTTTAATTTTTTCTCATATTTTCAACTTGATATTATCAGAGGAACATAATAAAAATATTGCTTTCCAGAGTACACATTAGCAATCTGAGATAAATTAATTATACTAAAAACATAGCCCTGCTACAAATTTCTAAAAACTAAGCACACCAAGAAAGGTTCTTAATAAGTGGTAAGTGGTTCTGCCGCCTGCCTCACAAGCCCAAGGTCCCGAGTTCAATCCCTGGTACCAAAAAAAAAAAGTGGTAATCCTTGAAATTAAGTTTCCAAAATGGGAAGTTTTTTGTTGTGGTGGTGGGGTTTTTTGTTGTTTTTGTTTTGTTTTGTTTTTGTTTTTGTTTTTGTTTGAGACAGGATCTCTCTATGTAGCTCAGGCTGGCCTTGAACTTGTGGTGATCCTCCTGCCTCAGCCTCACCAGTGCTGGAATTAAGGGCATGAGCCACCACACCCCACAAAAATGGGAAGACTTTTAACTAGAAATATTTACAATGCCCTGAACATGAACTGCTGATTCCTGCAGTTATTAAATCAAACACTAACCCAAGCCCTGAGATAAAAGTATATTAGAGATGTGATTAAAGTCCTTAGTGAGGTGACTGCAAGTCAACAATATTATCCTACATGATCTGGGCGGCCTTTAAAGCAAAGCAAGGACCCCCTACATTCTGTCTGTCCCTGAGAACCCCAGTCTCCTTCCCCTAGTCACCCCACAGTCATGGAAGCCAGCTCCTCACAGAGAGTCCCCAGTGCCTACCTCCCACTGTTCTGCTTCTCTCTCTGATTGAGACTGGATTTCTTCCACACCAAGAGAAGTGATGGCATCACCATGTGGTGACCACTGAAGAAAGGCCAGGGGCCCACCACAGCTGTCGAGTCATTCTGCACCACCAGTGGCCCCAGAAACTCACCCACTGAGAACCACGATGAGACCACAAGGCCCGGGTTGGGGGAGAAGGCCATGCGAGTGTAGAGACCTTCGACCCTAAATTTCCATGTAAACTTTCTGGAGAGTCAGCTAAGTGTAAGAACCACTGGCTTAACTATCAAATCCCTGGCAGCCTCTGGAAACCCAACAGAATCAAGAAATTCTGCAGACTCAATCCAGGTCGCGGAGAGAGACACGTGGTGTCTGTGTGGATCTGCACTCCCTAAGCGGGTCCAGTGATTTGTGTAGATTTGCAGCCACTATGTTTTATAAGCACTAGTCAAAGATCTCAAACAGAATGCTTAGCCTCTGGCTAAGACCAAGGGCTGCATAAGAATTATGGAAAACGTAGCATTTAATGTGTTTTCTAACCATAAATTCACCTGCACTTCCCTCCTGGTTGAACACAAGCAGGAAGTAATTTGGTACAAATCATAGAGACAGCAGCAAGGTGGGCTCGGCTTCTGTTAGCCCGTAGAGCTCTCAAGTGTGAGACCAAGTAAGTTGTAGAAGCCAAAGCACAGATACTGACACATCAAAAATAAAACCCACAAGAGACCAATCAAATTTCATGAGTGTCATCCCCACCTGCACTTTTTTTTTTTTCAGTAAACGCTAGGCCTATGCACCGAGCTACATGCCCAGCATTTTAATTTTTTTTTTTTAATTTTGAGATAAGGACTCCCTAAATTGCTAGGTTGCCCAGGCTGGGCTCAAAGTCTCAATCCTCTCGCCTGGGCCTCACTGAGAGCTGGAATTACAGGTGTGCGCCAGTTCTAACCTGTACTTTTGAGAAGCACTAGTCTGAAACTCTGAGTATGCTTTTTCCCTCTGCGATAGAGAACGCTATGCTGTTCAAGACAGTGGTCCACCCCAGGACCGCCACCAGGTTTGAGGATATGGAGTGGACTGAAGATCTCTGTGAGCACAGGCCAAGTGCTTGAAGGTGGATTATTTACTCATCTGCTAACTGGAGTAAAACAACTAACTCGTTCCCCCGCCTCTATTATTGATAAGGAAAAAAATAAAGCTGAAGAAGAGGGAGACTGTCTCAACTCCATGTTATCTGAATTGGGAAGAAGTAAAGACACAACTTTTCAAAAATCTGGTAATCTGTACTGTGAATCTTAAGTAGTCCTAGACACTTGTGGGTGGGAAATATGTTTTGCCTGGAGTGGCTTGGAAGCAAGAGTCTCAGATGTATAGGCCTGTGGACACCTATCCATACTACATTATTACAGAGTTCCTTAGTGCCTGTTAGGGCATTTTCATAAACAAAACGTGTTCATATTCTGGACTACAGAATGAGGTTTTTTTGTCTTTTTGATACTGGGGATCGAACTTAAATCCCTGGCCCCAGAATGAGCTTTTCGTCATACAATTTTATAATGGTATACAATCCTATCAAAAGAAAAATAATACTTACTTTGCTGTGATGGTACCGTTTAAAGTCTTAGAATTCAAAGAACAATATAATGGTGTCTGCAGAACAACTTCAAATTTTGGTAATACTGAAAGAGAAAGACAACCTTTTAAAGAATCTATTTTACTATCACCTTCAGCCGACCAAAATTAAAAAATAGAGTCAATCTGAAAGAGTTGATAACTGGTCATACTTGAACTTAGATTCATTAGGATCCAAAGACATGTTAACTCAGATGAAAATCCTTGTATTTTATTCAAAATCAGAAATCCTTACTTAAATCAGTTTTGTTTTTTGGTTTTTTGGGGGGTTTTTTCCCGTACTGGGGACCTTGCACTTATGAGGCAGGCACAGTGCCACTGAGTTACATCCCAGGCCCTTAAATCAGTTTTATACAATTAAGTGTCAAATGTTTTATGATTAATATTGTTTGATATAAAGCACTCTGCCAGAGTAAAGTAATTTTTTTATTTTTTTTTTTGCTTTCTGCCTGGTCTATAGGAAATTTTTTCTATAATTTTACTGACCAAAGAAGTAGATGAAAGTCTCATAAGCAGGCACTTCACTCTTCAATTAACATAAGACAAATATCACAAAAGCCCATGAGCCTATGGCCAAGGAAATCAGATGCTTCTTCCTGGACATGACAGGCTGGCAGTCAGTCCCCACGCTGTGCCTGAGCAACAACACACACCTGCCCAGCACACCATAGCGAGACATGAAAACAGCCTGCAAAAAGTCAGGCTCCCGTGATATGTTCTTGTAGATCAGCACTATCCCAAAGAAATGTGAGCCACGTGCATAAGTTTTCATTTCTAATAGTCACATTTAAAAAGTAAAAAGAAATGAATGAAGTCAATTTTTGCAATATTTTAATCCATATATCCAGAATCTAATCTACATGTAATCTAAATAAATGAACTATGAACACACTATTTGTCCTTCTCCTTCTTGCACTAAGTCCTGAGAGGCTGGAGTGAACTGCATACCTACAGCTCTGCTCTCCCAGGACCAGCTGTGTGTAGCACTGAGCAGCCACGTGAGGCAAGTGCTCAAGCACAGCCCAGACTGGGGGCCAGCAAGCTACAGCCAGCGCCAGGTAACAGTGGCCATCGCTATTTTTAATTGGTTAAAAAAAAAAAAAGCAAAAGAGGCCGGGAATTTAGCTCAGTGGTCCCACCGCCTGCCTTGCAAGCACAAGATCCCAAGTTCGATCCCCGGTACCAAAAAACAAACGCAAAAGAATAGTGTAAATATGAAATGAAATTCAAACATCTATGTCTACAAAATAAACTTGGCTATTGCAATGCAGGAACATTCACTTACATATTGTCTATGGCTGATCTCCTTCGCAAAGTTGAGCATTAGTATTACAGAGCCTCAGATAATACCATCTGGCAAACACTTTGTGACTACTGTTCTGAGGGATCCGGAGACATAGATCAGAAAATACCATGTGAGCTGCAGGCGCCTAAGCCATAAAGGTGTCAGCAAACTACTTTCCAGAATTTCTATTGCCTGAATGAAATGTAGCACCAATCAAATAAAAAGGCTCATATATACACCCAAAGTAAACTACATACATTCTAAACTGATACTGAGATTCTATACATCTCTCCTTCCTCTCCATCCAAATAGCTGGACCCATGCTTTTATCTGTGTTTCCAACCCAATTTCACAAGCGCAGCACCCATCGAGACCATCTTAACCACCGTTAACCAAGAACTGTAAAGCTATGGAAAGGAATGGATGTTACGTTTGGGAATTTTGTTTGTGGAGCTGGGACAGGACCCAAGACCACGGATCTTCTATCATCCTGCTCCAGCCCAGCCCTGATGGTAAGTGTTTAAACAGGCCAAATTCTAAATATCTGATCATCACAACAAAGCACAAAAAAGGAAAAAACTATGCATAAGAAAAAAGTGGCATAACGAGACCCCCAGATAATATTTCTCCTACTTTTCTCTTTATAAGATTTTGGAACATTTACAAAGGAAAATGTATGTTTTGGCCTATACAGAACACCAGAATTTTATCTCTATTGAAATTTTTACTTTAACACATCTCTTTAAAATGTATCTTATTTCAGTAAAAAGTAATAAATTTTTCTTTCAAAGTAAATTGAGAAACTCTTACCATATTCTGAGACCTGAAATGATTGATAGTATGTCTGGCCCTATTGGGAGAAGGAAGAAAGAAATAAGAAAATGTGTGAGTTCTTATTTGATTACTTTGCATGCTTACTTACCTGTACTGAAAAGGTTTAGAAAATTAATTTTAAATTATATTTATAATGATTAATAAACAAACCAGTTTATTTTACTTGTGGAAGTTTATTTTTATTCAACTGCAACATTAAGCTGGTGAGATTTCAGAGGTTTTCTTCCCAACTTGCTTACATAAAAAGGTGACCTGTCATTTCAGCGACCTATTTAATTCGACTTCTATTATTTCCAAAGCAAGAAATAGGTTAAATTAAATGATTCACAAATTTACGAAAAAAAGATAACATATACTCACAGAAAATTACTTCTAATTTGTTTTAGTTATCACTATTAAAAAGGCAAAGGATAAAATGAAGTTACAGATAATTCAAATTCTTATAAATAGTCAAAATATAAAAAATCATCATTGACCAAAGTCTTCCACCTTTCTAACTCCTTAAACAATTTTCTAGTGTAACCCTTCAATTAATAAGTCTTACCCTACTTTAACATGTACAGTTATTTCCTTTTCTAATATCAAAAAGAAAATATATGGTCTATTTTATATCATTTTTATAACTCTGTAACTGTCCATTTTAGTCATAAGTAACACAAACAGAACCTTTTCAAAATACTTAGTAATTTCACTAGTATTCTGATTCCCTAAATTTATCAAAGCAAATACACAGATGTAACTAGAAAATACTAGATCTTCTTTTAAAAAATTACTCTTAATCAAAAGCATCTGGACACTACAAAGTTTTTTTTTAATCTTAAAGTAAGAATATAGGGCCGGGGATTTAGCTCAGTGGTTCCACTGCCTGCCCCACAAGCACAAGGACCTGAGTTCGATCCCCAGTATCAAAAAAAAAAAAAAAAAGGAAGAATATAGTTCATTTCAAAATATAAAACAAATTTAATTACTTATGTGATAACAAAATAGTAGTCTAAAACCTGGTTTCAAAATTGTCATTTAAAGAAAATGAATTGTGTTGTTTTGATCAAGGTCTTAAGACTATCCATATGTATCGTGCCTTTCTTAAATTATTTTCATGTCATATATAGGAATGTTATAATTATATGGATATGATTCATTCCTAAGTTCTAACTTGTCATCCTCAAAATCAAATCAGGTTAATAATCTACCTGTATTTCTTGTTTTAATGATAAAGATTTCTGGTCGTTAAATTAGTTTGCTTTATTACTGAAGCCAGTACAGGTAAGGCCATGGAACAAGTAAATTAACAATCAAGATGTCCCTGATGAGCTAAAATCACACAGCAAACAATCAGGCAGTAATGTCAACACCACAGGAAGCTCTCTAAAGACCAGTTAACTGTCCTCAGCATCAGGGGCTCTCGTGGTGGAGACGGACCCAGTCATCCACCACATGGGCACATCCTACAACTACACGTGTAGCAGGCTGTTCCACCTAAGTCTGTGCACATGCACTCCAGGATGTCCTCAGACTGTGTCCCCTCTGTGAAGCAAAGCATGCCTGGACAAGGTCGATAGTGTCTAGGGATTCCACACACTGTTCTCCTCACTTCCTTTTTCCTATTTGACTTACACATACTTTCACCTCTGTATCTCCCAATGCTTCACTCAAACACTTCTGTTTCCCTGGATCCCCAGCCTAGATGCAACATCTCTGCCCTCTAAGGCCCTATGCATGGTCATCCTTCCTTCATTTCCTGTCACTTTTTACCCTGCGTCATTAGTATTCAGATATATAGCTCATATTGCTGCAAGTTCTTTGAAGTCTAGGTCCATAGTGAATTCCATATCTCTTGGGTTGCCAACCTACTCCGGCACCTGATACAAAAAAGTGTTCAATAAATATGTGTTAGACTAAACAAAAATTACTAGCTTTTGGGCCGGGGATTTAGCTCAGTGGTTCTACCGCCTGCCTTGCAAGTGGAAGGACCCAAGTTTGATCCCCAGTACAAAAAAAATTACTATCTTTAAGTAAATGCCTTGAAACCAAGTTACAGGCAAGTTTTTAACATGTAAGTAGCTACAATAAATAATAACCAAAATGAATTCTGCCTCCTCTCCTGCCTTCTACATTGCCAATCATGACTCCTGGATTTATTCATTCTCTCTCTCGCTCGCTCTCTCTCTCTCCCCCCTCCCTCTCTCTCCTTCTCTCCCTCTCTATCCCTCTCTCTCTCTCCCTTTCCCCTTTTCTCTCTTGAGATAGGGATCTCCCCAAGTTGCCCAGGCTGGCCTTGACTTGAACTCATAATCCTATCTCAACCTCCCGAGTGGCTGGGATTACAGATGGATACCACCGTGCCCGGCTGATTTTCCACCTTTCTGTTGTCTGCGTCTTTCCTTTATTCACGCTGTATACATTCTCGAGCCTTTCATTTTCCCAGTATTTCTAAACAGCTTTCAAACTCTTCCTTGTTTCCTTTCTTTAACTCTTCCTGATCCTTAACTGTTGCCCTACTTATCCTGAGGAACTCCTCAATTCTCATGTTTTTACCTGCCCATACCTCAAGCCAATGTTTCAGACTCAATAGTACCAAGAATCAACAAATGGGATCATTATTAAATTAACCTGTGCACAAAACAACCAAGACAGGGCCCCAACCATCTCCCAAATATCCAGGAAACAAGAGCTGCCCCATGTAAAAACCTACTTATGAACTTTAAATTGCCTCAAGCCAGTGGCTATCAATACATACTGGTGCTTGCCTGCACCTTCTCAAAATGGATGAAAGTCTTCCCCACCTGAACAAAAAAGACATGAGAGGTAACCAAGGTACTGTTAAAAGATATCCCAAGATTTACATTGCCTTTGACCTTGAGTCACACCATTGACCAGCATTTATAGCCAAGATATTTCAGGAGCTCACGCAGATGTTAAAGATAAAATAGAAGCTTCACACAGCTTACCAGTTGCAGAGCTCAAAAAAAGTAGAACACATGAACCAGACACTCAAACAATTATTGAAAAAAAAATTGTCCAAAAAAACCCCATTTGAGGACTGGGGATATAGCTGAGGAGCATACCATCTGCCTGGCAAGCGCAAGGTCTTAAATTCAATCTCTGGTACCAAAAAACAAAACAAACAAACAAAAAATGACCTGAAATAAGATCAAGTCCTCCCCATGGTCCTCCTCTGAGTTCAATACAACCCCACCAAACAAACAGGGTATTCCCATTATAAAATTTTGCTCAGCTGGCCACCCCCAATCACAGATCAAATAAAGGGTAATCTTTATAAACTAAAAAACTGTCCCTGAAAAAAATATATAAGCTTTGAGAATAACCCTTTAAGATATCCATAGCTGTGTACAAGAAAAAATACACATAAGCTTAACAGACCCAGTACATCCATTCAAACCTAGAGACTTTGTTTGGGTCAAAAAGTAAAATAAATAAAATCCAACAACCCTAGGGACCATTGGGATGGGCTTCATACTGTAATCCTGTCTATCCCCACTGCTGTTAAAATTACAGAAACTGTGGGCCAGGATTTAGCGTAGTGGCACCACACCTGCCTCGCAAGCACAAGGTCCTGAGTTAGATCCCCAGTACTAAAAAAAAAAATTACAGAAACTGTAATTCTACCACAGCTGGCTAAAGCCAATTGCTCAGGATAAGTAGACCAGCCAACAGGATCCAGACCACCTGAACCAGCTGATCCAGCGACAAGATCAGGCTGCCACCAGAAATGACAGCCCTGCCCTGGTCACTCTGGAAGCTGGCCAAAGCTTAAAGATCAACATAGAGTCACGATGACAACAAAAGTTTCTGATCCTCTTTGTTATAATTCTCCCTAGCCTCTTACCCTTACTTGTCAAAAACATTCAGTCGGCCATAGAGACTCTCGTGGGCATACCACCACTCGACCGATGGCCTTAACAAGTACCAACCTCTGCTCAGTAGATTATACTGAAGACCCCCCTTATGACAAAAATTGATGATGATGATGATGATGATGATGATGATGATGATGATGATGATGCTCTCTAGTAAAACTTGTTATAAAGAGCAACAAAGCGGGGAATGAAGCAGGATTTAAAAAAAAACAAGTCCTTCCCAGCCTTGGACAGCCCCCCCCATCATTCCCCTCTCCCCTGTAGTTGTAACTCCTTGTTCCGGTACAGATAAAATTAACAACTATGTCCCGTATACAAAGTTCATGACACTGTGTTCATGTATGATTCATGTGATTCATAAGACACTGTCTTCTTTCAAGGCAAAATTACAAAACTGTCTGCCCTTGTCCTATAAGCTCACTTGCTACATAACTAGAAAAACCACCCCCTTCAACAAACTATATAAAAGCTGGAACTTCTCTTTGTTCAACTCTGAGTCATTTTAAATATAAGAGTCCACTGAGCCAGTATATAGGCCTTAAATTAATCCTCCTGACTCCCATTTGGTCTCTCCTGTTTCTTGGAATTCTGCAACACTACAAGAAATGTAAACATTATGTACTACAATCGTGTAGTAATAAAAAAAATTTTTAAATGAAAAAGAAAACAGGAGTCAAGCTGGATTTGGACTTCAGGCCAGGGTTCGCTAATTCATGGTCTAAAAAAAGAAATTAAATTTATTTTCAAATTGTTCTACGTTAGTTCTAGCTGAACTTAACTAAACCTGACTAAATTTAACTAAAACTATGGAGCAAAAAATACAGAAAAAATAAACAAACAAAAAACACCTGGTCTTTTGTAGGAAGTACAAGTTTCTTTTACTACATAATTTTCCTTCAATTGCAGATGAATTTAATCTGCTTCAAGTGAGTTTTTATGTTAACTGTACCTCATGAAAATGGCTGTATCATTCACTCTGCCAACAACCTGAACGCTTAACTTATCAGGGTGCATGTCTTCCAGGCAAACTCCTTTCCAAGTAAAAGAAAACATAACTCATCAACACCTCAGTGCTTCTTTCCCCAATATGGTCACTATTCACAGGGAAAGCTCACCAGTGGAAAGCACACATATTCAC